TATACATAGAGAATCCTAAAGATGCCACCAGAAAACTACTAGAGCTAATCAATGAATTTGGTAAAGTAGCAGGATACAAAATTTATGCACAGAAATCTTGCATTTCTATACAAGAATGATGAAAAATCTGAAAGAGAAATTAAGGAAACACTCCCATTTACCATTGCAACAAAAAGAATAAAATCCCTAGGAATAAACCTACCTAAGGAGACACAAGACCTGTATGCAGAAAACTATGACACTGTGGAAGAAAAATTAAAGCTGATACAAACAGATGGAGAGACATACCATGTTCTTGGATTGGAAGAATCAACATTGTGAAAATGATGGTACTACCCAAGCAATCTACAGATTCAACGCAATCCCTATCAAACTAACAATGGCATTTTTTACAGAACTAGAACAAAAAATTTCACAATTTATATGGAAACACAAAAGACCCAGAATAGCCAAAGCAATCTTGAGAGAGAAAAACAGTGATGGAGGAATCAGGCTCCCAGACTTCAGACTATACTACAAAGCTATAGTAATCAAGACAGTATGGTACTGGCACAAAAACAGAAATATAGATCAATGGAACAGGATAGAAAGCTGATAGATAAACCCAAGCACATATGGGCACCTTATCTTTGATAAAGAGGCAAGAATATACAATGGAGAAAAGACAGCCTCTTCAATTAGTTGTGCTGGGAAAACTGGACAGCTGCATGTAAAAGAATGCAATTAGAACATTCCCTAACACCATACACAAAAATAAACTAAAATGGATTAAAGACCTAAATGTATGGCCAGACAGTATAAGACTCTTAGAGGAAACATAGGCAGAACACTCTATGACATAAGTCACAGCAAGGTCCTGTTTGACCCACCTCTTAGAGAAAGGGAAGTAAAAAACAAAAATGAACAAATGGGACCTAGTGAAACTTAAAACCTTTTGCACAGCAAAGGAAACCATAAGCAAGACGAAAAGACAACCCTCAGAATGTGAGAAAATGTTTGCAAACGAAGCAACTGACAAGGTTTTTTCTCCAAAATATACAAGCAGCTCATGCAGGTGAATATCAAAAAAAACAAACAACCCAATTCAAAAATGGGCAGAAGACCTAAAAAGACATTCTGTAAAGAAGATATACCAATTGCCAACAAACACATGAAAGGATGCTCAACATCACTAATCATTAGAGAAATGCAAATCAAAACTACAATGAGGTATCACCTCACACCAGTCAGAATGTCCATCATCAAAAAATCCACAAACGATAAATGCTGGAGAGGGTGTGGAGAAAAGGGAACCCTTTTGTACTGTTGGTGGGAACGTAAATTGATACAGCCATTATGGAGAACAGTATCGAGCTTCCTTAGAAAACTAAAAATATAACTACCATATGACCCAGCAATCCCACTAGTGGGCATATACCCTGAGAAAACCATAATTCAAAGAGAGTCATGTACCACAATGTTCACTGCAGCTCTATTTACAATAGCCAGGACATGGAAGCAACATAAGTATCCATCGACAGATGAATGGATAAAGATGTGGCACATATATGCAATGGAATATTACTCAGCCATAAAAAGAAACAAAATTGAGTTATTTGTAGTGAGGTGGATGGACCTAGATTCTGTCATACAGAGTGAAGTAACTCAGAAAGAGAAAAACAAATACCGTATGCTAACACATATATATGGAATCTTAAAAAAAAAAAAAAATTGGTCTTGAAGAACCTAAGGGCAAGACGGGAATAAAGATGCAGACCTACTAGAGAATGGACTTGAGGACATGGGGAGGGGGAAGGGTAAGATGGGACAAAGTGAGAGAGTGGCATGGACATATATACGCTACCAAATGTAAAATAGATAGCTAGTGGGAAGTAGCCGCATAGCACAGGGAGATCAGCTCAGTGCTTTGTGTCCCCCTAGAGGGGTGGGATAGGGAGGGTGAGAGGGAGATGCAAGAGGGGGGAGATATGGGGATATATGTATATGTATAGCTGATTCACTTTGTTATAAAGCAGAAACTAACACACGATTGTAAAACAATTATACTGTATTAAAGATGTTAAAAAAAGAAAAAAAAGATGCTCAACATCACTAATGATTATGGAAAGGCAACTCAAAACCACCACGAAATATGACCTCACAGCCACTAGGATGGCTACCACTACTACAACAATAATAACAACAACAACAGCACAAAATAACCAGTGTTGGTCAGTTTGTGGCGAAATTCGAATTCTTGTGCACTATTACTGAGAATGTAGAATGTTATAGCCACTGTGGAAAAAAGTATGGTAGTTCCTCAAAAAAGTAAAATAAAATTATCATATGATCCAGAAGTTCCACCTCTGGGTATACACACAAAACAACTGAAAGCAGGGTCTCAAAGAGATATCTGTACACCCATGTCATAGCAGCATTATTCACAATAGCTGAAATGTAGAAGCAACCCGAGGGTCAATTGACAAATGAATGGATAAAAATGTGGTACTTATAATGGAATATTATTCAACCTTAAAAAGAAAAACATTCTTAGATGTTACAACATGGATGAACTTTTACGACCTTATGCTAACTAAAATAATCCAGTCACAAAAGGACAAATACTGTATAATTCTGCTTTTATGAGATACCCATAGTAATCATACCCATAGGAATTCTAGAAACAGAAAGTAGAATGGTGATTTCCAAGAGCTGGGAGGAGGGGAGAATTGGGAGTCATTGTTTAATGGGTATAGTGTTTCAGTTGAAGCATATGAAAAGGTTCTGCAAAAGGATGGTCATGATGGTTACACAAGAATATAAATACGCTTAATGTACAGTTAAGATGGTTAAAATGGTATGTTCTGTGTTATATATATTTACCATCAGAATAATACAAGAGAAACATACATAAACGAGGGATATAACAGATTAAAAAGTCACAATAAATTGAATTGAAAGAAAATCTACACAAGCAAACAAAAAAATATCTGAGCCAAATCACTGTGAAATTGAAGAACACCTAGTACAAGATAAAATGCTGAAAGTTTCTAGTCAGAAGAGAAAAACAATGAACAGAAGTTCACACACATCAGACTGAGAACTGAATGGCAATGGACTTCTCAAAGGAAACACTGGAAGCTAGAAGACAATAAAATAATTCTGAGAAAATTCTGAAGGTTCTACACAGTTAAATCATCAATTAAACATAAATGTAGCATAAAGACATGTTTAGATTTTCAAGGTTTTAAAAAATTTACCTCCTATATATAATTTCTCAGTAAACTAATAGAAGAAAGCACTGCATTAACTTAAGAAAATAAACCAAGAAAGAACAAGATATAGAATCCTGGAAACAAGAGTCACAACACAGCATAGAAACAAATGAATTCTCGGGATCACAATTGAAGTGATGTACCAAGATGACAGCTGTTAAGAACAAGTTTAGAAAGCAAGCAGTCCTGATCAGCAAATTAAGGGCTCAAGCAGAAGTATCTTGAAAATAGATATATGTGGGTGTGCTTGGTGATAAGTGGAGGTTTGACTCTTATGAGGTTTCCAAACAAGTTTTAAAAAAATAGTATAAGAAAGAAAACATAGCCTAATATATTGTGCGATTCAGCTGTAAGTAGTATTTACATAGCCATAATAATAAGAATAATAAAAATTAATTAACCCCCAAATAGTGATAATATAATTATATTGGGAGAAAAGAGGAGGGGACATGTTAAGAGTGTGTATTAGGGAGGATTTATAAGATAATTAAACCTCTATCTTTCACAGTAGAAATTGTATATAATATCTAAAATTGAAAAAGAAATTTTAGCAGAATAAGCATATTACTTGGAAATATAAAAGTAAATAACAGAAGAGTCATTAATAATTATTAAATGATTATTGTTTTGGGGTAGCAAGAAGAGTGAGTGGGGAGGTATGGAGCATGGGACTATTATTTTTCCTTCATTTCATTTTGGTTTATAAACCTAGGAGTTCAATAACTGGATTAAAATAAAATTACTTTTAAATAAAAGATGCAGAGCTTTAGGAAGTATATAAAGTACATGAACCTCATAACGAAGTGAGGAAATAACAAAGCCTGACAAATGAGGATCTGGTAGAGTTCGACCAGTTCACATACACAGAAGAAAAAAAAATCAATAAGGATAAAGACACTACCATGAATTTTTAAAAAGGAAAAATAATCAAATATTTCAGAATTAAAAGGATGGAGGGAGGGGAAAATGGAAAATTGCTGTTTAAAGATTATAAAATTCCAGTTTTACAAGATGGAAGAGTCCTAGAGATCTGCTGTACAACACTGTGCTTATAGCTAACAATACTGTATTGTGCACTTAAAAATCTGTTAAGAGCATAGGCCTCATACTAAGTGTTCTTATCAAAATAATGTTTAAAAGGTTTAAGAGAAACCTTGAGAAAAGTTTTAAGACCTTCAAATTATTTTACAAAACTGTTTTTATGATTCTTCTGTGAAAGACAGAGGTAAAGAAAATGTCATCTGATCATAACACATTTTAACAGAAGAAATTCTGCAAAAACAAAATAAAAACAGGTACACATATGATGACCAAAATTTTATTAACAATAAAATGTATTTTTGTGTACAAAAAATAATTATCTTCAAAGCCTGAAAGACATTTAATATCATTTTAACTGAAATAATTTATATTAATTAATCTGATACTTGACAGATTTCCTGAAGGAGGTAACATACTGGCACAGCCATATGGTAACAAAACTATCAATTCAATATGGTTCTTGCTAATACTTATTTCTCCTAATTCCCAACTTCTACTCAAAATCAGGTCCCTCATATCCATGAAACAACTTTCTGCATATATATATTTATAAACTATTGGAAGAGATATGAATATTTTATCTAGAAGTCTCAAAATGTATTTCATATTTATAGTTCAAAATTAACATGCCCAACATCTAACAAATTTAATTACTCTTCATCAAAATATGTTCATTAAATATAATTTTAAATTCATATAACTAACCTTTTTGAATGAGATGTCTTGGTTTTCCTGTTCTTAATTCATATAAAATAGAAGAAACATGTTTTCTCTGTTCACTAGAAAATTTTAAATCAACAGGAGAATGTATATTCTGTGGAAACAAAATAAAAACAATGACAACAATAATATCTCATATATGTTTTAGAGTTCTCAAAGAACCCTCACATGTATTTCAACACATTATCATAATTGACTTTTATTTAAAAAACAACAGCAAAAACCTGTGAGGTAGGCAGAGTTAAGGAAAGATGAAAAGAGTTCCATTATGATTCTGATAAATTATCTTTCTATTAAGAGTTAATGATATACTTTGGACAATATTCTAAGGGAAATTGAGGGGAAGGGGGACCTGTCAGGAGGGTGCCATGACAAAAGGAATCAGAGGGGAGGAGAAATAAGGAATAAACAAAGAGAAGCAAGATAATGTTGCCCAGGAAGGCTGATGGAAGATTCAGAGTAAGAAAGGAGGGACACATTTTACAGAATACTAAAGGATAGTAAAATAGGTAGAAATAAATGGGGCCAGAATTACCACAGGCCTTAAAAGTACAAATGGATCAGATATGTGTGGAAGGGATAATAAGTAGAATATTGATAAGGAGCTTTGTGTAAAGCAGAGGCACTGTCAGATGTAAACTATACAATGTCTGTAAACTGGTTGAGGACGTTTTAATAATTGATACTGTGTTCTCTCTCTTTCTCTTCACAGACCATTCAGGATTGATACAGAGGAACCAGGTCAATAAAGAATCCAGGCTCTTTCAAAATGTATCATCTCTATCTTACTGCATCATCTACATGGCTTCCAGCCTCAAGATTTACTCACGAGTCAAGATAGCTACTAGAGCATCAAACACCATGTCTATATTTCAGTCAGCAAGATGGAGGAAAGGATAAAATGACAAAAGGGCACAGGCCATGTGTCTTAAGAAACTTTCCCAGAGGCCCTTCCAATAATTTCTGTTCATAACTCACTGACCTCCCACAGCTAAAAAGGAGAGGGTAAGAAATGCAGGCTTTTAGCTAGGTACTTTACTTCCTGGAGTAAAATGGTGGGTCTGTTACCAAGAAAGAAGAGAAGGACAGATATTTGTAGGCAACTAACAGTCTGCTACAGAAAATAAAAAAAAGCAGAATCTTGGGAAGGGACATATGTTTGTATTTGGAAAAACTTTCCCAGAATATTATGCTTTCCTTGATGAGAACCACTGGTCTAAATTCTGAAGATTCACAAATATATACCCTCAGATAGATCTCTTTTCTGAGGTGCTTGGTTCTGTATATTTGTTTATGGAATACTTGTACAGTGCTTACCATTTGCCATTATTTTAAGCTCTTTATAGATATTAATTTATGCAATACTCATAACCACCATGAGCTGTGTTCTTTCGCCCTGGAAAATCTCACAGACACAACATACTCAAGAGATTTGAAGTCATATCTTTCCTCTAAACCTATTAATACTTATTTCTAGTTGTAGTGAATAGCATTACCTTCATCCAAGAGGAGAAAAAGTCACATAAATTCTCTAACGTGATAGCTGATAGAATTTTTAAACAGATAATTTTTTTCATATTTCCCCTGCCTTGACTGTCCACTTATCCAAACCTCCTTTACTCTACAATTTAGAAGAAACACTTGGATATGTGTCCTAGTCTCCTGTACTTACAATTTTATGCCCAAATTCCTACACCATATAATACAGATATATTTAATTAAATATCCTTAAGCTTATTTTATCTTTTAAATTTTATATGTAATGTCCTTTAACTGATTTTTTGAAAACATAGTCTCTATGCAGTGACTCATTGTGCAAGAATTTTTTTTAATGCTCATGATAGGTACTAGGTATTATCTCACCCTGGAATGAATCTGTTTTTATTCCTCTCTAAAAAATCCTTTACTATAACTCTTACACAACACTATTTTCAGTCTTTACCTGACAAAAATATTACTTTTTGCTAGAAAGACAAATAAATAGCTACTTTCGAGTTAACCTATTCTCTCTATATTTAGAAATTTTTTTAGGTTGTCAAGAATAAATATAATATAATAATACACTATCAAAACATGACTATTTTAAATAATGCTGTTTCTATTTTCATTTGGGCTCAAATCTTACTATTAAAATATGACAAAAAATGTAGACCACTGTTTTGCAATCAAATTTGTAACAATCAGTTCTAAATGCTTTTTCAACCTCAGATTTGTCCATCAATCTTCTTCAGGCCATATCATTCTTACATCTTCTTACTTCTATGAATTTTGCTCTATTTTGGTAACTACTCTCTGTCTTTCCCTCCTGACAATGCAATTCATCATATGTTAAAAAATCACCTCAAATTCTACTTCAATCATAGAAATGGACCCTTTCTGTGCTCTAGATCTCACACTTATATTCTCCTCATGAGAAAATAATGAAAGTGGAATGAAAGGATATGTGCAACAATTCTGTTTCCACTAGTACTTATTTCTTTACACCCCCGAAAGAATAAGGAAAAATTTAAAAAGGTATATATCTATCTGTCAAATCTGAGTATCCAGACTCTATCACAAATAAAGTTAATTTGCAGAATCATGAAATTTAAAAGCCTCCAAGTCAAATCAGTAGCTAGCTAGTTCCTTTTAGAAATATATTTTCTTTAGTTTGCCAACTTAGCCGTTTTTATATACTATCCACATATCATTGTTTGTCATCATTTAAAATAACTTTCCCTTCCTTGGCTTTTATAAAAGAAGAACCATGACAAATGGTGCATATGTGAGAGTGAAACAAATCTATAGAAAAATGATCAGAGTGTCTAAAGCCCTAAATGAACTGAGGCTTATACAAGCTGCCATCATAAAGAAAATGGGATGTTTGTTTTATGTACTGTAAGAAAAAAAAGAAAGGATATGCCCATTTATTGATTGATCTTCAAAATGACAGAGAAAACAAGTTATGACAACACTGGAGAAAATCTAATATCTTGTTCTCAATAACAGAAAGGATATTCTATTAACTAAAGTGCCTTAAATTTAACACTGGTCTTCAATAATTTAGGAAAATATTTAAAGGATTTTTGGTAGCATTTGGAAAAGAAATAATCACCAAGGAGCAATATATATTGAAAATAAATGAATTACATCAGATATAATTTTATTTTTAACAGGGTCAGAATTAATTCAGGTTCCAATATCCTTGATATGATAAACCTGCATTTCAGCAGCATGTTTGATAAACACTTTCACTACTTATTGAAAGACAGTATGATTAGGTGGAGATCAAAGATGTTGAGCTATCACATGGAAAAGAGTAAGGATTAATAAAATGATGCTAACCTGAAGGGAGATCTCTAATGTCTTGATATGTGGACATGTTCTTAGCCCTGTGCTGACAATAGTTATATGAATGATGTGAATAAAAATATAAAGAAAATGCTTATCAAATTTTCAAAGGGGGTGGTAAAAGAACAAAATCAGTTAATTCTGGACAAATTTAAAAGATTATCAATAGACTGGAGCAATGGGTCAAATTGAATAGATGAATATTAATAGGAATAAATATTGCAGTTGGGCAAAATGAATTTAATCACTACAATAATATAATTTAAAAACATGAATGATAAAAATTATTTTAGTTAAGAGTAAATTAAAAGTCTATTGTGTGATGACTTTATGCTGTATAAGCATTCCATCTAGAATGAGGGAAATGGCAATCTTACCATTTTCATTTCTGAACCATAGCTGAAGTACTGTTTCAGGTCAGTGAAACATATTTTCAGATGAATATAGATAACCTGGAACATGAAAAGAAAGGAGCCTACCTACTGAATTATTTTTAAAGTAAGCCCTATGTAAATAAGCCATGTATAAATCTAGTGTAGAGAAGAGATAACAAAGAGATCCGGGCTTCTCACATCCTCCAACTGCCATTTTCCTCATCTTGTAAAATGTACCATTATCTTATTCAAACCATAAAAATGTAGGATTTCATCTCTATTTTATCCTTTTTCTGAAACACTTTATCTAAGTCATCAGCAAATCTTGGCAATTCTACCTCCTGAATCTATTTCAAATCTGTTCACTTCTCTCTGTTTTCACTTTACTTCTCTAGTGTAAGCTATAATCATCCCTTCCAAACAGAAATAGCTTCCTATTGGTCTCTGCCTTAACCCTAGCTGTTACAAGATATATTTATATTTGTCAAAAGGTAAATATGATCATGTTTCTCTTTAGCTTTAAAATCCCATAATGGCTGTCCAAGGTGCTCAGTCCTTACTATGAGGTACAAAAACCCAGCAAAATATGCCCCTTGACTACACAAACACATCTTGTGCTACTCTTTGTTCACTATACTCCTGCCACACTGGATTTCATTCAGTCCCTTGAACCCAACTCAACTAAAACAAGTTACTTCACACCTCAGATCCTTGTGTAAGCTCTTCCCTCTGCCTAGAACACTCTCCTTCCTATACTTTGCATGGCTAGCTTCCCATCCTTTAGGTCTTAATTGTAAATATTATCTTCTCAGATAAAAACATTCTGTGACAATCCTATGAGAAGTGGGCATCCTCTTATTATTCCCTATTTCAGAACTTTATATATTTAATTCATAACATCTATCACAATTTTATTTGTTTGTTTACTAGGGTTACATCTTGGTTTTTTTTCTTTTTCCTTAGAATCTAGTCCACAAGGGGCTAAGGACTTTGCTTATCTTGTTTACTCAAAGCCAGGAATGGCCCCTGGCACTCAGCAGATACTCAATAATTATTTGTTACATGTTGAATGAATAGCACTAAAGAGAAGTGCTAGAAGGAATGAGTGAAGGTTTAGGAACTTTGGCTAACATAAAATAATATAATATAAACTTCATTTGTTGGAAAGCGTCTAACAACTAGACATAATTTTAAAATAAATTCCTAGCTTATATTTTTTAAAGGACTCTACCCCAAGTAACACTTTTCAATATTCTATTCTTTCATTCCTGATATTTTTCATACTCTATGGATACTCCAAAGCATTTCACTGAGCAACCCTTTACAATTATCCTATCCCCTTCTTCTAAGCTCTTTATCATGTGCATCAACATGGATTCTCTAAATTTTC